GCTCGGACCCGGGATCCGTTACTGTGATGCGCTCCGAAACGCCGTCTGGCCTGGGGGGCTCTATATAAATCCAAATTGATGATTTTGTTGAGATTATTATTATGCTTTTTAGTGATTTTCTATAACAGACAATAATAAGTGATCAGTGAATAACAATCAATAAATAGTCAATAAACACTATAATACAATGTAGGCGTTTGAAAAATTTTCTTCACTTTGAACAGTCTTTCCCCTTCCCGCTCTCTCTCTGTCTCTCTCTCTCTCTCTCTCTCATTCGTAGCCTCTCTCGATTTCTCTCCGTGTCTCTGTTTCCGCCGCCATTGTTCCTTCTCTCTCTCTGTTTCTCTCTCCCTCTCTCTCTCTCTCTCTCTCACACTGTCTCTCACTCTCTCTCTCTCTTTCTCTCTATGTCTGTGTTTCGGCCGCCATTGTTCCTTCACTCTCTCTCTCTCTCTCTCACACACACACTGTCTCTCACTCTCTCTCTCCGTGTCTCTGTTTCCGTCGCCATTGTTCCTTCTCTCTCTCTCTCTCTCTCTCTCTCTCTCTCTCGATCGGCCACGAACGGTGGCCATGCACGTGACGCGAAGCCCGTTTCAGACTGCGCACTCGCTGACCTGAGCACATCTGTCCGCCTTTGTGTGCGTGTGTGTGTGTGCACTTGTAATAATTTGTTCAGCAAAGCAACGCACCGCTAACCGCCATGTTGTATGGCAAAGCGTGTACGTTGTGTGCTTCTCAAGCTATCTCTCTCCCCCTCATTTATCTACTTGAGCACTGTCATCCGTTTTGGTACCTCCTCTCGGTTTATTATCTTCTCATCCAATCGCTCTACTCTCTTCTCCGAAGTTTCTGTTACACAGACACCAGTCCTGTTTTACAGACACCAGACCAGTTATACAGAGAGCAAGATGCTACACAGAAACCAAGACTGGTATACAGAGACCAGGGTTGTAATACAGAGACCAGGGCTGTTATACATAAACGAGGGCTGTTATACGGAGATCAGGGTTGTTATTCAGAGATCTGGCCTCTTTCAGTGACCAGTGCTGTTGTATAGAGACAAGTAATTTTGTTCACATGTCAATGCTGTTATTCAGAGACATGGCCTATTATACATTGGCTAGGCCTGTTATTCAGAGACCAGTCTGTTATATATACACTTGGCATATAATAAAGTATGCAGTCTGTTATGATGAGACCAGTGCTCTTGTACAGACACGAGGCTTCTCATACAGAGAACAGGCCTTTTTTACATTGTCAAAGCCTTTTATGCAGAGACCATGACTATGATACAGACACGAGGCCATTTGTAGATACACAAGGCCTCTTGTACGCAGACCAATCTATAATATATAGCACATGCATTTTATACTTAGACCAGTCCTGTTATACAGAGACAAGCCTTTTGTACAGATATCATGCTCATCCTACGCAGGCGAAGCCTCTTATATTGATACCAGGCCAGTGTACAGAGACCGGGTCAGTTATACAGAGACAGGGCCCGTTATAAATATAGTAGTTGTTATCTAGAGACCTGGCTAGCTATATGGAGACCATGCAGACTCGAGACTGTTATACAGATTCCAGGCCAGTTACACGGAGACCAGACCCGTTGAGAGAGACGAGAACTGTCATAAAGAGACCAGGATAGTTAGGCATCAATCAGGCTTTTTATAAAGAGACAAGTCCTTTCATACAGAGAACAGAGTGCTATACAGAGACCAGGCCTGTGATACGGAGATCAGTGCTGTTAGACAGAGACTAGATCAGTTATATGGAGATCAAGCGGTTATTGTGGACCTGGCCGGTTGTACATAGGCAAGGCCTGTTATACGTCGACCAGGCTGCTTTACAGAATCCAAGATGTTATATAGAGGACAAGGCTGTTAATAATAATAATAATCCTTGCGTTTGATATCGCGCTTTTCACGTCGGGAGGATGTCCCAAAGCTCTTCACAGAACACACTGTAAAGTGAATTGACTGTATATTTGTGGGCGAACGCAGCAGCCAGTTGCACACAGCAATGTCCCACAAATAGTCGTGGATTGAAAACGACCAATTTATTATTGGTTTTGGTTTTGGAGCGATTTTTATTCGGGGTGTGGAGTAAGGAAACTTGCCCAAGGATTTGCCCTGCCTGGAATTGAACTCAGGTCTCTCACTTGCAAAGCGAGGGCTCTCACCACTGAGGTATAGGACTCCACTATTATATAGAGGACCAGGCTTGTTATACATTGACCAGGTTGCTACACAAACATTAGGTTTTTATACAGAAACCAGTGCTGTTATACATAGACAGACCTGCTCTACAGAGGCAAGACCTATTATAAATAGAATAAGCCTGTTATACAGAGACCAGTGCTGTTATACATAAACCAGGCCTTTTGTACAGAGACCAGTGCTGTTATCCAGACATCAGGTGTGTTACACAGAAACTGGGCCAGTTTTACAGTGTCCAGGCCTGTCATAAGAGACCAGAACGTACATACAGAGACCAAGCATTTTATAGGTAGACAAGGCCCGGTATGCATGTCTGGTGTACACAGAACAGCCTTGTATACAGAGACCAGGCCATTTATATATAGACTGGCGTGTTAAAACTGCTCTGCTCTCAGGCATGTTATCCTGAGCGCAGGCGTTTTCATGCAGAAACCAGGCCAGTTATACATAGACCTGACGTTTATACAGAGACCAAGCAGTTATACGCAGACCAGGCTTGTTTTACAACGACCAAGCTGTTACATAGAGAGCAGGTGTTATTGAGCGATTCCGTAGATGTTAAAGAGACCATTGATGTTCTGCAGTTATCAGATCAGGTTTGCAGTGACCAGGCATCTGATGGAGAGACCTGTCATTTTATACAAAGACCAGATGTTAATATAAAGAACAGGCCTTTTATACACTGACCATATTGTTTTACAGAGATTAGGTCATTATACAGAATCCAAGCTGTGATAAAGAACCCATGCCAGTTACACAGAGACAAGGCCTGTTATGCAGAAACAATGCTGGTATGCAGAGGCGAGGCTGTTATATAGAAACCAGACTTATATAACCAGACACCTTTTATAGAGGGACCAGGCTATAATAGAGAGACTATGCATTTTGTACATAAACCAGGCCTGTTATACTGTACACAAGTGCGTTATAGAGATTCGAGGGCTGTTATACCGACAGCAGGCTTTTAAACAGATATCAGGCCCATTCTACGGAGAGAAAGTCTATTATGAATAGGCCATGTCAGTTATTTAGAGACCAGCTCTTATCCAGAGTCTAGGCCAGTTATCGTGAGACCATACAGTGTTCAGATCTGTTATGCAGAGCCCAGGTCAATTACACAGAGAACAACGCTATTAAACGGAAACGAGGCCTGTTATAGAAAGAATGTGCAAGTTATACAGGAATCAGGCCTTCGCTGCAGAGACAATGCGTTTCTTACAGAGACCAGGGAGCACTAGAAAGATATTGCTTACTGTACGGAGATCAGGCTGTTATACATATAACAGGCCAGTTATACACACAATCATGCTTTTATGCAGAGACAATGCCTCTTTTATATATACCAGAAAGTTGTACCTAGAACTCGCCTATATACAGTGACCAGGCGTTCTAAACAGAGACGAGGCCTGTTGAACAGAGACTAGGCCTGTTTTACATAGACGAGGCCTCTTATACAGAATCCAAGCCATTATACAAAGGCCAGGTTTATTTCATAGAGACCAGTGCTGTTCTATAGCAACCAGGTCTGTTATGCAGAGCCCAGGCCACTTTTACAGAGACCAGGCCTGTAATATGATACCAGGACGTATATAAAGAGATCAAGCCTTTGATACATAGAGAAGGAGTGTCATACAAAATCCAAGTCGATATACATGCACATGTTATACAGAGATCAGGCCAGTTATACAGGGTCCGGACCTGTTATACAGAGACCAAAGCTTTTATCCAATGCTCTTTTTAAAGACATCTGGAGAGCTATATAGCCTGCAGAGGTTTTCTACAGAGCTCTTACCAGTTATACAGAGGCCAGACTGTTTTACAGAGGCCAGGCTGATATACAGAGCCCAAGCTGTTATAAACAGACCAGGTTTGTTATCCAAAAAACAGATTTGCTTTAAGGAGACCAGGCCCGTTATGCATTGGTCTAGCCTATGCAGACACCTGGTTTATTATTCAGTGACCAGACCTGTAAGAAAGAGACAGGATCAGTTGTGATGAGATCAAGCCTGCCATGTAGACACCTGAGGTGTTATACAGAGACCAGGCTTTAATATCGAGATCAGGCCAATAATATCGAGAACAGCTCATCGACTTCATAACTGCATATCAGACTGTCTGCTCACTCCGCTCGGCAGACACCGGCCTGCTTTAGGTCCCCCGCAATTCCCACCCCACTGTTGGAGGTCGCACATTTAGCATTCCAGTACCTAGACTCTGGAACTCTACCCGCATTCCTTCTGCCTCACATCCTTCAAGTGCCGTCTGAAGGTCTTTGTCGTCGACCCTGCCTTCAATTTCAAAAGCCCTCATTGACCTGCACGGCCCTTCCTCCGCCACGTCCTTCAACCCAACTGACCCGGCCACACCATTCACTGGAAAAACGCCGTCAGCTTCCAACCACGCCCCATCCAACCCAATATCCGCAACACGGTGCTGGATTTCAGACATTTTATACCTCGCGCTCCGTAAAAGAATATCAGAGATACCAGGTATGTCAAAGGACCTCAAATCAACCTATTTCATGGCGCTGTTTGTCATACTCCCAGCACTCCACTACAAAACAAATATGCACTCCAGCCCTCCCCATAGTACAGCGCCTTCCTTGCTCGAGTCTTGTCATTAGAAAAGGGTTTCTCATCCTCTCTTGGGATCAAAGTCACAATCAGCTGATTTCAAAAGAAGAGACGATAGAAGAGGAGTTGTCAGCTCAGTGACTGGGAACCGCATACAAACTCACACTGAAACCGAAACCAGTTTCAATCAGAAAGTGCTGAGGTTCAAAATGGCTTCTAGACTCCAGGCTGAGATCTGGACCGAAGAGATCATTTGCCCGGTTTGTCTGGATTTCTTCACTGATCCTGTTAGCCTGGGCTGTGGCCACAACTTCTGTCGCTCCTGTGTCACCCGGAGTTGTGAAAAGCAGGCGATCAACTGCTGTTCTGTTTGTCAGGAGACATTTCCAGAAAAGAACCTCAGAGCCAGTTGGGCCTTGGTGAGTCTAGCAGAGAAAGCGCGAAAATTGAGCCTGAACCCGACCCAGACGGAAAATAAACTACACTGTGACAAACACCGGGAGGAACTAAAGCTGTTCTGTGAATCTGACAAGAAATTGCTGTGTGTAGTTTGCAGTCATGGGCAGGAACACAGAGGCCACAGCTTCCTACCCATTGAAGAAGCTGTTGAAATCTATAAGGTAAGAATACTCCTCAAGAAGGATTATATCTGATCTACCTGATATTTTCACCTTCAAACAGGTTAATTCTGTGTATTTATTTCAGGATAAACTGATATCCTCCTTAGCTTCTCTCACACAGAGGAAGGAAACTGGTTTACAAGCAGAAGCCAAACAGAAAGAAAAGATTTCACAACTGAAGGTGAGATTTCACAAAAGATGTCTCAGTGTCTCAATTTACTGTGTGCACACGTTGTGATGTCTCAGTGTCTCCAGTTACTGTGTGTACACAGTGTGACGTCTCAGTGTCTATGGTTACTGTGTGTACACGGTGTGATGTCTCAGCGTCTCTGGTTACTGTGTGTACACGGTATATTGTCTCAGTGACTTGGGTTACTGTGTGTACACGGTGTGATGTCTCAGTGTCTCTGGTTACTGTGTGTACACGGAGTGACGTCTCAGTGTCTCTGGTTACTGTGTGTGCACGGTGTGATGTCTCGGTGTCTCTGGTCAATGTGTCTACACGGTGTGATATCTCAGTGTCTCCGGATACTGTGTGTAAACGTTGTGATGTCTCAGTGTCTCTGGTTACAGTGGGTAATGTTTCGATGTCTCATATTTGCAGGAACAGGTGAACAGTCTGCAGACCCACGTCACGGGTGAGTTTGCTAAATTGCACCAGAGTCTGACTGACAGAGAGCAGCGAGTGATGCGAGATCTCAGACAACGAGAGGAGGAGATTTTAAAGCGAATGGAGGCAAATCTGAGAGATTCAGTGCAAATTAAATTCTGTTGAACAACAGAAAGAAAAGATTTCACAACTGAAGGTGAGATTTCACACCTCTTACAAACACCCCATCATGCACACCTCACCCACAAACGCAACTCACACACACACATCTCACATATACTTATGACACATTTAACCCTCAAACACGCATGACTCGCACATTCACACCCTCTCAGACACACGCTTGCGCATACCTTCACACACACTCCCACACACACTCTCAAACAACCCCTCACAAAGCCCCTCACACAGACCCTCATACAGACACTCACATACAAGCTCCCACACTTCCTCACGCACACCTTCACACACACACCCTCAAACACAACCTCGCACACTCCTTCATACACATAACCTGTATGTGGAGTCCTGTAGCTCAGTGGTTAGAGCACTCGCCTTGCAAGCGAGACACCTCGGTTCAATGCCAGGCAGGATGAATCCTTGAGCAAGTTTCCTTACTCCACACGCCTGAAAATGATCCCTCCAATAAACAAAACCAATACTAAATCGTTCATTTTGAATTCACGGCTGTTTGTAGGGACGCTGCTGTGCGCAATTCGCTGCCGCGTTTTGTCCACAAATGTTCGGTCAATTCACCTCACATTATATTCTGTGAAACGCTTTGAAAAGTCGAGAAACACTGAAAATCACTATGTGAAATGCAAGGATTATTATTATTATTAATATTAATATTATTACCCTGTCATACACACACACCCTCACACACCCACTCATGACTCTCACAACCTTTCCCCCTTCACACAGACCCTCGTACAGACCCTCACCTGCACGCTCACACAAACACTCACCTATCCCCTCACACAAAAACCCTTACAAACACTCTCACACACAGACACCTCCCGCTCACACACAAACCCTCACACACACCCTCACACCAACAAGTCACACGCATCGTCAAAGACACCCTCACACACATCAGCACACCAGCTCTCTCACAACCACTCACACAAACACTTACCCACACCACTCACATGCACCATCACAAATATTACACACACCCTTCGCACACACCCATCACACACAAACGTCAAATATCCCCTCACACACATCATCACACATTCCCTCACGCGCACCACTCAAACGCACACACACACGCACCCCTCACACATATCCTCACACGTAAACTCACACATCCTCACATAACCCCTCTATCATTCCCTCAAGCACACACACAATCCTCTCATAAAGCCCCCCCACACACACACTCACACACCCTCACATAAACCTTCACACATCCCCTCTCACAACCCCTCACACACAACTTCACACACACATACACTCTCACACACCTTCAGAGGTGTGTACCCCTCAAACGCATCCTCACACACACCGTCCCACGCACTCGCTCGCAGCTCTCACGCAAACGCCTCACATACATCCTGACGCACACCCTCACTCAAACCCTCACACGAACGCCTCAAACACCCACTCACAGACACACCTCACACACATCCTCACACACAGCTTGACACACAACCTCATACAATCCTTCTCACACCACCTCAAACACTCACGCGCACATACGCACTCAGGAACCTCCTCACACAAACCATCACAAAAACCCTCCCACACGCCATCACATAACCATTCGGACACACACCCTCACACACATCCGCACAAAGATCCTCACAAACCACTCTCACACGCCTACACACACAACCTCACAAACATTAAAACACACCCTCACACAAACCCCTCACAACAACCACTCACAAACCCTCAATAACCCCTTTACACACACACTCACACACACTCACATAAACACTCACACACACACCGCTCACACATCTACACACAGATCCTCACAAACCACTCTCACACGCCCACACACACAACCTCACAAACACTCAAACAAAGCCTCACACAAACCCCTCACACCCACCCCTCACAAACCCTCAAAACCCCCATTCGCACACACACTCACACACACACTCACACACAATCACTACACTCTCACACACACACGCCTCACACATCCACTCGCAAGCACTCACACACGTCCTCACATATCCCCTCACACATTCCCTCACACAGATCATGACACAATCTGTCACACATACAATCACACTAACCCTCACACACAACTCTCACACACAAATTCCCACACACCCGGTTACACAAACCCTCACAAACAACCTTACACACACCGTCGCACACACTCACAACCTCAAACACACACCCTCACAAACACCCTCAAACACCCTGCTGACACGCTCACCCTTACACATCCACTCACACACACCCTCACAATTATTCGCACACACATCCACTCACACACACCCTCACGCAGAATCTCACACATTCCCTCACACAGCCTCTCACACACACCTTCATAATACCGCTCACACACCATCCCCAACACACACCCTCACACAAACCCTCACACACATAGTCACACACACCGTCACACCGACTGTGACCCTCTGAGCTGGATTGTGTCCCCGGGTGTAGATGTGTTCACACACAGTCTGAGCTCCAGACGTCCCCTCACTCCACTTTGTGTTGTTTCTCTCTCTCAGCTCCGGCCTCTCTGACTCTGGATCCTGACACAGCTCATCCCGCGCTCATCCTGTCTGAGGACCTGACCAGCGTGAGACACGGAGACACACGGCAGCGGCTCCCTGACTCCCCGAAGAGGTTTGATTACTGTGTCTGTGTCCTGGGGTCTGAGGGCTTCACATCGGGGAGACATTACTGGGAGGTGCAGGTGGCCAACAAGAGAACGTGGGATGTGGGATTGGCCCGAGAGTCCGTCAACAGGAAAGGATTGATCACAGCGTCACCAGAGGATGGATTCTGGGCTGTGTATCTGAGAAACGGGGATGAATATGAAGCTCTGACCTCACCTCCCACCCGCCTGACCCTGAGGGACAGACCCGGGAAGGTGGGAGTGTTCCTGGACTATGAGGGGGGAGAGGTGACATTTTACAACGCCGATACCATGTCGCATCTCCACACTTTCACCCAGAATTTCACTGAGAAACTTTATCCATTCTTCAGTCCCGGTTTGAACGACGGCGGCAAAAACTCTGAGCCTCTGAGGATCTGCCGAGTGACAGATTAATGAGCAGGAAACCCTCAGCCATGACCTGTGTTTGGCGGTGATGGCCACGAGGCTGAACCTTTTATAATCTGTGTCCTTATACAATAAAGCTTATAGTTTATATTACACCTTTCACATTGGGACCGCGGCTCAATCCTTTCTCGGAATCGACTGTGAAGCGCCTGTTGTGTTTGTGAGCGAATAAAGAGCTAATTTGCACAGAGAAAAGTCTAAAGTAAGTCAACTATGACACAATGAACATCAGGCTGGAGCTTTCAGCTCCTGATCTCGACAATAATAATCCACACATTGTGCACAGCTCCTCATCACTTCTGCCAGACGTCTCCAAGCCCATCCCAGGCTTTCTAAATCTGCGTTAATCCCAACGATACTCATGGGGTTTATCATTGACTTTCTGTTTAAATAATAACGCGCTCTCTTTGTACAACACGGGAAACGGTTTTAAAAGCCCCCATATCCGCGGTGTTTCAAGTGCAATAGTTCAATAAACCCCGATATTTGCGTTAATCACAATGATATAAATATGGTTTTGCGTTAACTTTGGGTTTTGATTTTAATCCCACAGCCGAGGACAAACACGGGAAACGGCTGTAAATTCCCCTCAGATCATCGGGGTTTAAAGTGCATCAGTGCAAAATATTCCTAATTCTGCATTAATCCCAAACCGCTTTTTGCATTAACTCTCTCCCTCTCTCTCACACTAACTCTCACTTTCTCTCTCTCTCTCTCTCTGTCAATCAGCCGCTGGAGGCTTTGCTACAAACAGGAGACAAATAGGGGTGGGGCCAGGGTTAGGGGCGTGGCCTGAGCTGGGGGCGGGGCTGGGTTCGGTCACGGGGCCAGAGCAGGATTTTGATCTGTTGACCATATTTGGGTTTTAAAGGGATGCCGTCACTGTCTTAAAGGGGAGACGAGGTTTAATGGGGTTATAGCCCTTTTTATAATAATAATAGTAATCCTTGTATTTGACCCGAGTATCATCACGTCTTCGGAACGTCTCAAAGCGCTTCACAGTATATACCGTATACTATCTCTATTACAGGTCCTGTAGTTTAGGGATTAGAGCCCTCGCCTCGCAAGCCAGCGACAGGGGGTCAATCCCCAATTGGGGGCGAAACCTTGTGCAAGTTTCCTCTCTACGCACAGACACACCAAGACACGCGCACACGGGCACACAAAAAGATACACCACGATACACATACCGTCAGAGACACTCATACACAGACGCACAAACACACAGACACATAGACACAGAGGGACACACAGACATGCACGGACAAACACACACACACACACACACATACACAGCCCGGGACGGGCAGAGATCGCATTGTCGACCCGAGTGTCCATTAAACAAGATTGACTTGATTCCCACATTGTTTGCCAAGCTCTGAGACCCTGTTCACTCCCGTAACGGAGTAGAAGGGATTGTTTTTACTAAACAGGCGCTTTGAGGCGCCTGTGAGACTCTCACAGCGCAATATCGAATGACAAGTTTATTACTATTATTATTATGTTTCATGGGGAGGTACAAAGCGCAGCACTGCCCTCTGGTGGCAGTGAAGTGGTGCTGCAGGGTTTTGCGAGGGGCAGGAAGAGGAATTCACTCTATAATAATAATAGTAAAAATAATAATAATGCTTGCATTTGATCCAGTGCCTTATCACATCTTCTAGACGTCTCAAAGCGCTTTACAGAATATGCTGTCAAGTGGTTTGACTGTACATATGTGGATGAAACGCGGCAGCCAATTGCGCACAGCAGCGACCCACAAACAGTCATGGATTGAGTGATCAAATTGTCATTTTTTTTGATGGATCATTATTTGGCATTTATACACCCAACCACTCCCAGTGTCTCTCCTGTATACACACAGCCACTCCCAGTGTCTCTCCTGTATACACACAGACTCTCTATGGGCCTTTTCTGTACAAACATCCTCTTCCAGTGCCTCCGGTTGTATACACACAACCTCTCCCAGGGTCTCTCCTGTGGACACCCGACCTCTCCCAGTGTTCCTCCTTCATACACAGCCTCTTCCAGTGTTTCCCAATGTATACACCAGCCTCTCCCAGTGTTACTCCTGCATAAACGCAGCCACTCCCAGCGTTTCTCCTTTACACACAACGTGATAGAGAAACTTTACACCTTCACACCTTCCTCTCCCGCTGTCTCTCTTGTATACACACAGCCTCTCCCAGTGTTTCTCCTGTACACGTAGCCTCTTCCCGTGTCTTCCACTGTATAAACCAACCTCTTCCACTGACTACCCTGTATATACACAGCCACTGCCAGTGTCCTGCCTGTATACACACAGCTCTCCCAATCTTTCTCCTGTACAAACAGCCTCTTCCAATATCTCCCACACACACACAGCCTGTCCCTGTATCTCTCCTGTACACACACAGTATAAAAATATAAACAACTCACTATTTCACTAACTGACTATCTCACTCACTAACTCACTCACTCACAGACTCACACGCTTAAAGGAAAGCGAAATAATTCAGCAAAGTCTTTTGCAAACTTAATCAACCGTAAGTTGTGACTAACACATTGAATCAGCCTTAGACAGGTATTACCTGATTTCTATCACATGTGTTGTAGAAAATCTCTTATTTCCAAGGGAAGAAAAGGCGGATTTGGAATCAAACAAACTTATTTTGCCAATAATTTAATTTCTATTTGCAGAATAAAAATCTTCATCATTAGAATATGAATCACTGTCAAAAAACTGCATCAAAAATAATTATATAAAACTGCAGACAGTATTTTGGATTTAAAGCGAGTCCGTTCTCTTCTCAAATGGGAGACGTGGTGTTTTGGGCGATTAAAAAGTCTTTTTGTAATAACCATGATAATAATAATTGTCTTTATCCCAGCGCCTTATCACGACTTTGAGACGTCTCAATGCGCTTCACAGGATAGTGTCGTGACTGAGTTTTTACAGGATTCAATGCAAAGTGTTTTTGTAAAGTGTCCTGTAGCACAGGGGGTTAGACACACAACCACACACAGTCACACACATATACACACAGAGAGAGAGACACGCACTCACACACACAGGCACAAACATATACACACAGACAGCGATACACACGAGCGTCAACGCAGACAGATACAGAGACAGATAGATGACAGACAAAGACACAGACACAGGCACACAGACACAGAAACGCAGACACAAACACACACAGAAACAAACAGACACACACAGACAAACAGGACACACGCACAACACAGGCACAGTAATACACACTCTTAACACACACACACACAACACACACACACACACACACACACAGGCACAGAAACACACACACAGACACGCACACACACACACACACACACACACACAACACACACACACACACACACACACAGGCACAGAACACACACCCACCACCACCCACACACACACACGCACACACACACACACACACAGCCCGGGACAGGCAGTGATCACACTGTCCACCCGAGTGACCATCACGCAGGAATGGCTCCATTCCACATGAGTTGCAGAGCTCCAGATCAGCTCCAGGGAGACTCTGGTCACCTCCCCTCAAGGAGGAGAAGGGAATTGACTAAACAAGCGCTTTGAGGCGTCTGCAAGACGTGAACAGCGCAATATCAAATGCCGAATTATTATAAATAGTATAATTACACAGAATATAATGAGCAGTTACACAGTGCAACACCACCGACTGGTGGCAATACTGCGGAACCGCAGGTTTTTATTTGTAATTTGAACCCAGACTGAATCACTGCAAATGATTACTTGCCTCAAATCCACGAGGAGAGAAGGAGAAGCAGTGAATTGCTGTCTGTGTCTGACCGCTCTTTAGCAGTAAATGCTGATAACCAGAACCAGGGAATGAGCAACACAACTAATGTCGTGGGATTCAGTGCGAAACAGTTTATTGACATAAACACATGAAAAGGAAAGAAAATGGATTCGTCAATCATAAGCCAACACTGACTAGAAGCTAAGAGTCCTGATCCTCCGTGAAGGAGGGGAAAGAAATGCTTTTTTTTTGTTTGTTGTTGAGAAACTGCGAAGCAACTCGGAATTTCTCTCTGTCCGTCGGCCTTGGACATCCTCCGGCGATGAGAGGCCTTTACACTCGGTCATGTTGTTTCTCTCTCTCTCTCTAACACTCTCTCTCACAATTTTACACTTCTCTCTGTCTCTCACATTCTTTATCTCACTCTCTCTCTGTCTCTCATATATTCTCTCTCTCTCTCTCTCTCTCTCTCTCTCTCTCTCTCTCTCTCTCTCTCTCGCTCCCTCTCTCACTCTCTCCATTGTAGACAGGCAGAGTGCATGTGGGAGAGGGACAGTAAAGGAATGAGTGACTCTGTGTGTTCATGGACCTAAAGTTTCAGGAGGTTGTCATCCCACAGCCACAGAGCGTTCAGAGAGAGTACTTGTGGTTGTGGTAGGAAGAGGGGACGGGCAGTGCAGAACTCACATGAAAGTGTGGCATTAACACACGTGTCCGGTCAGGGTGATAACTCTGTGGAGAGGAGCCAATGGCAAATGGATGCTCAGTGGGACTCAGAGAAGAGTTTCAATGAAACTGTCTTTGGGGACAAATCCTTCAAGGGAATAGACAGATGTTTCTCCCGTGGTCACAGAAGATGAGAATGCAGCCAATGCTACAGTATCGGATAAGAGGGCAAAGAAATTATCTATGTCAAGAATAAAGCGAGAGGAATTACTACAAATCAATCGGCGCACAGGGTAGATAATACACCCAGACCGGACGGGATGAATCCTAGTTTACCGAAGAAAATAACTGGGCAAACATCGGAGGCTCCGGGAAAAATCTCTCAAATCTCTTTGGACACCAGTGTGCTGCCAGAAGTCGGAAGTGATTCGAGTGTTAGTCTCCTGTTCAAAAAGTCGCAGGTTAAACCCGGAACTGTAGGCCAGTCAGTCTCACTTCAGTCGTGGGGAAACCTCTGCAGACTGCAATCTGGGAAAAAATACATTCCCACAAAGGAAATTATGGTTTAATATAGAAGAGCCAATACGGACTAACAAACCGGATAAAGTTTTTTTATGAAGTAACGAATAGGGTGCAGTAAGGTTCCACAGTTGGTGTCGCTACGCATTTTCAAAAGGCGTATCAGATAGTATCATATATGACACTTGTAACCAAAATAGAAGCCCACGATTTAAAAGGGACAGTGGCAGCTTGGAA